TGGTAATAATTGTGAAAACCCTGGAAGGACAAACTGTCTAGACGTCGAATTTCCTCCTGGCGGAGTTTGGGGATTCGACGCTTGAGGTCCAATATATTCCAACACCGGCTGGGTGTAAGTTCTTACGCTTGTTGACCCAGGCCCTAATAATGATGGTACTGGTTCCAATCTCGCTGGAGGTGTTATTTTCTCTCCAATCGAAGGTATCAAGGGTGGAACCACATCATTTCTCAATCCTTCGTAAGGACCAATGGTGCTAGGCTGAGGGTTAGAACCATCTCCTCGAGGATTAGGATTATTTGGCAGATTTGCATCTGTCTCCATATCCCTAATGTATTTTCTTCTTGGTCTTTCTTCATTTATAGCGGCAATTTTGCCACTCCTTAATAACATGTAACGAGTTTTTACGAAAGATGAATAAAACTACAGTTTTGCGAACTTTTTGCAAAACTAAGAAAAAAATTCTTTAGCACTGTCCCACTGGGCGTGCCATTTTGTTTCCCTTGAAAAATGGAAAACAACCGCTGATCTTCCAAATCTAACTTTGGTGACTCACAGGATCGATCAGATTGATCCTAGGACATGTGCTAAAGGTTATGTTTTGAACTAGTCTATCTAACTTATACACTTCGACAACGTTTCAGTAAAAGGTTTAGCATAAAAGTGCTTGTTCGACTAAAGAGAGGAAAGATAGAGAATTGCAAGAAATGAGGTAAAGAACTTTGAGAAGAGTTTGACAAAATAAAATGAAACACTTCAAAGGGGTAGATTGCAGGAAAAGTAAAGGAAAGCTTTTTAAAGTTAAGCAAGTAAATTAAACTTCATTGAAAGTAAAGATGGTGTGTTTAGATAACGTACATTCTCCTTGAACTCGTTTCTCTATACTCGAGTACTTTGAGTAAATTTAGGAGTAACTTGTACAAATAGTAAATTACAACACACTGAATTCTATGTCTAAAACTCTTATTTATAATAGTAAAAATAACTACCAATAACCTCTTAAAACCATCAGCTTCCGACAAGTGTCATAGTGCATGCAGTCACTTGCTAATCGAACGCCACTTGTCCTGCTTAGTCATGGGAAAGCATAACTACTCCCTCCATTATTTGAATTTCAAAAACCTTCACTAATCTTCAGCCAATGTCTCGGTCGAAGGTAATTTTCCTTAATATTTGGAAATTTCTCCAAGTCCTAAAACATTTGAACTCCCATTCAAAGGTCTCCTTACTCGAAACCTTATTCATTCTAAAAAAGACTTTAATGTTTTATTTAAATATTTTAATCTATACCTGAGGCGTCGAATTAGTGAGCTAACAATGGGTTCATTCCATCAGTAGATAATGTCAAGCGAAGGTTTCTTGCTTCTTCTCCAAAATCAGAATAATCGTTATCAATTTTCATCCACTGTGGTGAATCTGCCGGATGTCAAAACTTTCCATCTATAATTCTTTCATATGCATGCCAAGTCAAGTGTTTTGTATCGGTTTCACTATGAAACATGCGTCTAAATCTCGGAATTATAGGAAAATACCATAAGACTTTTGCTGGAGACAATTTTTTCTTATATCGAGAGACACCGCATTTAGGGCACTTATTTAACGATGCATATTCATTTCGAAACAAAATCCAATCATTTGGACATGCATGCATCTTATCATAACTCATGCCAATAGATCACAACATTTTTTTGGCCTCATAGGTTCTATTGGGAAGAACATTATCATCTGGAAGCATCTCTTTCATAAGGGCTAATAACTCTGTGAAACTTTTATCCGACTATCCATTTCCCGCCTTTAAGTTGTACAACTTTAATACCTCATACAATCTTGTGAATTTAGTGCAACCTTTATACAACGGTTTCTATGCATCGCTTATCAACCTCTCAAATATTTTGGGACAATCCTGAAGATCTTCTTCAAGTGCTTCTGCAATCTCTTCAACTCGATATGTATCTGTGCCATTGTCCTTTGAAGCATAGGCCGTATTATCCTCCGGTTGAACATTCTCGTTACTTATCTCACCATGTAATATCCAACATGTATAACTTTGATCAATTCCATGCCTCTTTAAATGTGATTCCAACTAAACTGCGACAATCCGACGCCCATAACAGCAACCTTAGTAAGGACATATGATCCGACTTGGGTCTTTGGCATGTTCAATAGCAAACTTAACGAATTCTGATACCCCATTCTCGTACGCTTTTGACAATCGATTGGAAGACATCTATTTTTATCCATGGTTTTTACTAAGTAAGCTAATCAAAAACACTAATTATTTACGCAACTATAGCAAACGAACAACTATAGCAAATGCGCAAATTCAATCATACTTAATGTTTCAAGTCAAGTAAGTCACACAAAATCATCAATTAGAGCATAAATCAATCACCAAAATTATCAAATCCACATTTAAATTACCAAATATAACAACTTCATCACTTAAGTTCAAACAATCAACAACATCACAATATTCAACAATTAATTCACGAATGTCATTCAAGTTTCAATCAACAACATCGCCAATGATTATCAAAAATAAATTCATAATGTCATCACCATTCACCATCTTCAGCCTTAACAATTAACAATTAATTTCATTATCATTTTCAATCAACATTTCGATCAAAACAAAGTAATTATCACTAATTAACATTTTCAATCAACATTTATTTAGATCAAAACAAAGTTCTATCAAAATAAAGTAATCATTAACATTCAACAAAGTAATCACTAACATTCAACAATTATCCATTAACAATGTTATTATCGTCAATTATTTTCAACAACTTCATCACTAACATTACACATTAACTTACAAAATTAACACCAAAACTCAAAAGAAATTCACCACAAATATCACTATTCATCATCTTGAACCTTACTACAACAATGTCATTCAAACTTCTATTGAATTCAAATAACAACAACATTACAATGTATTTCATGGTTTGGGAATCTAAAAAATAAAATAAAGAAATACCATGCAAATAACCTTGAAAATGAAGAAATATCTTGAAAAATGGTGGAGCACGGCCGGAGGCGAACATAGGGAGAATGACAGAACTGAAGACGAAGGGTGCTACGGCGGAGGGAGTAGTTGCGACTGATAACACGGTCGGTCAGAGGAAGATACGGCGGAGGGACATCTGACAGGGTTAGGAAGGTACGTCTGAAAGTGAGAGAGACAAAATGGTTTCCAAAACATAAAAATTATGTTTTAGTTTTAGAATTTAATGACCTATAGTAGCGCTTTTGAAAGCGGTTTCTTTTCTTATACCTATAGCAACGCTTTTTCTTACAAAACGCTTTCATATCCTAGACCATTAGCAGCGCATTTGAAAAGTGTTATCTAAGGTGTGACTTAGACACCCCCTATAGTTGCGCTTTTTCTAGAAAACGCTTTCTATTATTTACCCTATGTATGACCTTTTAGCAGCGCTTTTTTCCTTGTTTTTTTATTTTTTTATTTTTTTAACTTTTAGCATAGTGATCTATCTCTTTTCTCTATTTTCATTCATCTTCATCATGATTTGTGAAAATGTCATGACAGAGAATAACACTATGTAAATTACAACACATAGACTATTCTCAACAACCCCACGACCCCAATCCACTCGCACTCTCCAAATTTAAGCAAATATTTAACTATTTCTAACAACACTTTAACACAAGAGTATAATACAAAATAAAAAGTCGAATACAAGTTTAAAATACTTTTGACTGATACATCTTGTAACAAAGAACTTAAGTTATTTATATAGTCTTGGACTCCAATTTCTTTTATAAAACTAAGCAATGTGAGACTTTTTCAACATATATATTTTCAACTAATCCCAAATAACTTGGACTCCCTCTTCCTTTATAAAATTAAGCAATGTCAAACTTTGTCGACATATATATTTGCAAGCAACACCAATAAACCCCTCTTTTTTGACCCTTTTGTATTTTTTAAAAATTATTATTTTATAAATATTAATAGATTATTTATATTAATACATAAATATAAATAAATACAATATAAATAATTCATCTTTAAACAAATAAATAATATTCATTTAACTCAACTAATACATATTAAATTAACTACTTAAACAAATAAAAAATATTCATTTAACTCAACTAATACATATTAAGTTAACTACTTATCATCAAGATAGAAAAGAAAATCTTAAAAACAAAGGCATGTGTCTTTACCAATTATTCTACTAATCTATGAGTTATATTCAACAATTTTATCTTAAATTGATATTGTTAAACTTTGAAAATCATAAATAGATAAAAGTTATTTTTCTATGATGATTTATCTTTTGTTATTTATCTATTTTATTAAAAAAAGTATATATATATATATATATATATATATATATATATATATATATATATATATATATATATATATATATATATATATATATATATATATATATATATATATATATATATATATATATATATATATATATATATATATATATATATATATATATACTCTTTTTAATAAAATAAATAAATAACAAACGATAAATCATCATAGAAAAATGAGAGATGAGAGGAACAAACAACAATTATTAACACTACAAGAAACATTGTATTTTTCCAAGTGATTCCCACGTCACTAAGTTAAAAATCACTTCACTAACCACTATTTGCGACGTGGGAGAAACACACCGGAAATGCAATGGTGGGAACTTTTTCCCACGTGAAAAACACGTCACAAAGTTATTTTCCCATGTGATTTCCACGTCACTAATTAGTGACATGGGATGCACTTCACTATAAAATTTAATAATAATAAAAAATAAATAATATTAACTGAAAACAATTATAAAATTAAAATAAATATTAAATATTAAATATTAAATTTAAAATAAAAATAATTTTTAATTAAAATAATATACATAATTAGTCACATGAAATTCACGTCACAAATACAAATAATAATAATAAAAGTTGTCACGTAATATTCACGTCACAAATATAGACAATAATAAAAAAAATTATTCCTCGTCACTAAATGATACATCTTCGTCTTCTTCATCATCTTCGGCAGAATAATTCGATTTCGAGGCAAAAAAATTTCGCATTTGTGCCTCCATGTCTAATTGCCGCTTCCTCATTTCCTCTATTTCAGCATTTTGTCTATTTCTCATATCATCCATTTCGGCTTTTAGGGCCGCCTCACGTGTCTCCGCCTCTCGTCTCGCCTCAGATAGAGCTAACTGTCTCACTGTTGCCAACTCTCGTACATCTTTTTTAAAATCAGTCTTGTTTCTTCTAAATACATGGTCTCGTGGTAGGAATCTGCAGTGAGAGTCAAACCACGAACTTTTCCCTCCAAATTCCAAAGTAAAAGCCTTTGTAAATTCCATGCAATGTGGACATCCCATTTTGTCATGCGTACCCCAACCAGATAACATTCCATAAGCGGGAAAGTCATTAATAGTCCACATCAAGGCAGCTCGCAAAGTAAATTTTTGTTTGCGAGATATATCATAGGTCCATTCTCCAATCCACAACCTCTTCAAATCATCTATTAAAGGTTGCAAATAAACGTCGATTCCAGATTTAAGACTTGACGGTCCTGGAATGAGGCAAGTCAAAAACATGTATGGTTTTGTCATGCACATCTCTGGAGGGAGGTTGTAAGGGGTTACGATAACTGGCCAACAGGAATATGCAATTACAGATGCTTGGACGTATGGAGTAAAACCATCAGAGCATAGTCTGAGCCTGACATTTCTAGGTTCTGCAGCAAAATCAGAATGTACCCTATCAAAATGTTTCCATGCCTCACCGTCAGATGGATGCCGCATAATGCCTGAACATGTTTTATTTGTATGATGCCATGTCATTTGACTTGCATTATGCATTGAAGCAAACAATCTTCTTAACCTTGGTATTATCGGCAAATAAAACATGGACTTCACTGCTACACGTTTTTGTTTACGGTTAATGGCTTTACTACGAACTTGATATCTCGGACTCTTACAAAACTTACATTCCTCCAACGCTTCATCATTAATACCAAACTCATTGTCATAAAACAACATACATCCTTTTATGCAACAATCAATCTTTCGTACTTCTAAATCCAACTTCGACACCAACCTCTTTGCATCATAATAACTTGTAGGCAAGTTGTCTTTCGTAGGAGTCGCATCCAACATCATTTTTGCAAAGTATTCCAAACACTGATCAGGAACATTCCAATTTGACTTTGCGGCCAATAATCTCACACACATTGATAATTTTAAATCTGCTGACCCCTCAAACAACGGTGTATTCATTTCTTTCAACAATTGGTAAAACCTTTGTGCTTCCTCATTCGGCAACTCTTCCCTATCAAAATCTTGAGGTTCATCATATGTCACATTTACTCCAAATGCATTTCCAACCATTTCATCAATCAGATTAAATTGTTCATCAAATTCCATATGTGATCGACTGCTTGATGCGTGTGTATTAGTTGTCTCTGCATGTACGTTACTCGACAGTTGTTCTCCATTATATGTCCAAACCCAATAATTTTTAATGAAACCCTTCCTCTTCAAATGACGTTCTACTTCCTCTGGATCACTAATTATAGGTCTACATTCACATTTAAGACAAGGACATCTCACTCCTCCCTCACGTCGACAACATTCTTGTGCAAATGCCCACGCGATAAACCCCTTAACTCCTTCCTCAAATTTTGGTGTAAGTCCAAGTCTGCCTGGTAACGTTCTATCGTACATCCAACTACGATAGTAACGAAAATATTTCATACTGCAGAAATTTGTACTATCATTATATATCATTTTAATAAAATATGTAATTTAAAATCTTTTTTTTCTATTTCGACACCAACTTAATAAAATATGTTCACTAAAATAATATAAATTCATTATTTTTAAAGTATAATATATATTCATTATTTTTAAAGTATAATATATATTCATTATTTTTAAAGTATAATATATTCATTAAAGTATAATATATATTCACTATATTTTTTTAAAGTATAATATATATTCATTATTTTTAAAGTATAATATAAATTCACTAAAATAATATATTATACTAATAATAACATATTTAAAGTATAATATATATTTATTATTTTTAAAAATCTGTTTTTAATAATTGAATGTGTAAAAATAATGTATTAAATGTGTTATTCTGTTTTTAACATATTTACTAAAATAAAATAATATATATTATACTAAATCTGTTTTTAATAATCTATTTTTAAAAATCTATTTTTAAAAATCTGTTTTAAAAATCTATAATATATATAATTGATTTACTAAAAATAACACATTTAGTACATATTTATTATTTTTTAATAAAAATACTTTTTCAAAAAATAATACATATAAAAATAACACTTTTTAAATATAATACATATTCTTTATGTTTTTAAAAAATATATATTAATTTTTTCTATTTACAATATTGTTTACTAAAAATATTTTTAAAAATTCTATTTTTTCTAACATAATAAATATTCTGTTTTTAAAAATTAAAAATACATAACATATTTAATTTGTTTCTAATATATTATTTTTGTTTCTTATAAATATTCTATTTTTCTAATTTGTTTCTAATAACATATTATTTTTATTTTATTTTTTTAATAAATATTCTATTTTTCTAATTTGTTTCTAATAACATATTATTTGTTTCTAACATAAAAATATTCTATTTTTCTAATTAAAAATACATACTATATTATTTTTATTTTTTCTTTCAACAACAACAACACAGTATATACATTTACATCTAACCAAAATTTTTTTTACATTTAACCAAAAAAAAATTTATTTTTTCTTTCAACAACAACAACACAGGATATATATATATATATACATTTACATCTAACCCAAAAAATTTTTAAAATTTCCTAATCAATATTCTAAAATAATATTTCATATATCAAATATATAAATAAATTGTAATGCAAAAATACCTCTCAAAAGCTTCCAATGGAATTCCTTAATCAATATTAGATCTGGAAAAAAAATTAGCAGTTAATAAAAAAAAACATAAAATAAATGGAAAGGTAAAACAGTCACAACAACATACAAATGTTTCACCTTAAATTTGTAAAATTTTCGTTGGAGGTGTGAAGCAGAATAATATGAAGGTCTGGAAATGTGAGGAAGGAAGAAGAAAAGCTGAAGAAAGAAGATGAAGAAATGAAGTGAAACGAGATGGGTGAAAATTCTGAGATATATAATGAAACTTGCGACGTGGGGAACACGTGGGAAGGTACCCACGTGAACCCCACGTCGGAACAAACATCAACTCCAACCATTTGCGACGTGAATTGGGGGTCGGAACAGCCCAAGCATTTGCGACGTGGCAATAGGGTCGGAACAGTTACCTATATTAAATTATATCCGTTGCCCCACTAAATGGCAAAACAACCGTTCATTCATGTGTCTGACAAATTAATGGAAATCATTTTTGCGACGTGAAAAGCATGTGGGTAATTTGTGACATGTTTATCACGTGAAAAAAAAACCTAAAATTTTTTTTTCCGACGTGATTACCACGTCACTAAATCACCAGGGAAAAACAATATTTTCTTGTAGCGTAAATCATGATTAAATTTATTTATTAATATGACTATTAATTTCTCTCTCTTATTAACTTAAATTTTATCTCTCTTATTAATTTGATCTAATGGTTGTGGTTTGTTACTCTCATGTCTCATTTAAAATCTCTCTCATTTAATATGCTTCGTATATATATATATATATATATATATATATATATATATATATATATATATATATATATATATATATATATATATATATATATATATATATATATATATATATATATATATATATATATATATATATATATATATATATATATATATATATATTGAAAGAAAGGAATATTGAAGAGCCATATCTAATTTTTATATTATATTTAAAATTTTACAATTTTAGTAAAAAAAATCAAAATAACTTATGAATATATAATTTATTTATTTATTTAAATATTTTTTTTAGAGTCTTAAAACTCTCTTAAAAACAAGGTCTCATATAAACCCTTGGTTGTTAGGCTGTGCATATCACATTAAAAAATGCCGGGACAATTGTTATTAAATACTCACGTTTGTGAGTGGTCATAGATTGACCAACCACCAACCAGCCACTGCTAGTTTATTGTTATTAATTCAGAAACAAAACAACTGTATATATAATAATATATAGTTGCAAAAGAGAGTTAAAATTTAGCAAAATTAGCTAACTGGAGAATCAAGATTCAGAAGTTCCAGTTCCAAAGAAATGGCTTAATGAGAAAAAGGGTCATTATCATCGTCTTCTACTAATTCGTTCTGATAATAATCTTCCTCAAAAGGTGGTGGTGAAGTGTAATACAATAACTCGTCCGAATGCATCTTTTCTAACTCAGAATAGAAATCACCATAATTTTCAGTAGCATCATTACTTGAACCATCTTCTAACACATTCAAAAATGCCCAATCAATAGTGTTCCCACTATCATGCATAGGAGTAGTACTGGTAGTAGAAGTCGAAGAGCCAATAATTTCAGTCACAAAATTTTGGATTTATTATTATTATTATTATTATTATTATTATTATGATTATTATCCGTAACAGTTGGTGGTGTTTTGCTCGCAAAGTTAGCAGCAATCTCTTGAATCTGTTCTGGATCCTTAGAAACTGCAGTGATATCCAAATGAAAAGGTGTATCAGGAAAGTTAAAACTTGCATGACGACCACGGAGACAGTAAAATGCAGCGTCAAACGCTCTTGCTGCTTTTTCTTCGTTTTTTTAATTGCAGATTAATACAAAAATGTATTTTCATACTCGTTCAAAAGTTAATTTTTCAAAAATTCAAAAATACATTTTTGTATTTATCTGCATTATTTGTCATGATTTTTATTAAATTTCATTTGGTTTTGATTTTCTCTCTTATATAATACTTGTGTGGTTTAATTATAACATTATGGTTGATAATCAAGATAGATTGATGCTCGGCAGAGTGTCATAACTGTTGGCTCTAAATTTCGACGTTTGAATACGATTAAAAGAGAGTAATAGAGTTTTTGAAAAAATTTGAATATTTCGACCAGGACCATATTTTTAGAATGTGGGTCGAAGGTGTTCTTTTGTCCGGAAAAACAATTTTACGGACTTAGAAATATTTCTTATTAGTTGGAAGATTCGATTCGACAGAGGTGCTGCTGAAGGCATTTCGACAGGAAGATTTGAATTCAAATAAAGGAGGAAAAGTTTGTTCTTATCCATTTCTCAAAGAAGACACGTGAAATGCTTCTAGGAATCAAAGACATGCAGAACGCCACTTGTCTCGATTTAGTTTGCTAGCCGTTGATGGCAGTTATTTTCGATTAGTATAAATAGAAAGCCTTTGTGTTAGGATGTGTGTGTTTAATTGTGTACAAATTTCTCAATATACTCCAAGTATCCGCGTGTAAAGAAACGAGTTTTTGAGAATGTACGTTGATGTAACACCATTTTTACATTTCAATGCAATTTAATAAGTCTTCTTCATTAAGAATTTATCCTTTCTTTATGCAAGTTACTTTTTATATTTTTTACCAGTCTTTCGACTTTAACCCTTCATGTTCACTTCCGTTTACATTTGAAGTAAGTTATTTTATCATAAATTCTGTCGAAGTGTTCATCGTCTTTTTAAACTTTGTTTAAGATCAATTAGCACATGTCCTACGATTTGTGTGGTTGATCCTGCAAGTAAAACAAATCTTTTTCGATTTGGAAGACCAGAGGTTGTTCACCAATTTTCACGGTGAACAAATTGGCATGCCCAATGGGACAGTGCTAAGTGATTATAAAATTTGCTTCGAAATTTTTGAAAATTTGTTAGTTCTGCGGTCAACTTTTTTCTTTGAAAACTTTGTTGCATGTTATTAAGAAGTGGTAAAGTAGTCACCGCTAACAAAGATAGAACAAGTAGAAGATATAGGAGGAGAATGACGGAAAATTCTAACCAGCCAAATATTCCTCAGGATATGCCTAGTAATAATGTAGAACAACCCATAGGATCTTCGACAGGAGGACCAACGGTCTCAGTACCTGTCTCTGAAGCAATACCATCTACGAGAAGTTTGATACCTACACATTATATTGCCCATACGCAATCCATTCTGACTTATATTGGGGCAAGGGGTCCTCCACATGCTCCACCACCAATAGGGGCTTCGGCATTCAGAAGCGTCTCTCCTCCTGGATTTGCAATACCCTTGCCTCGAGACCCACCCTATGGAACCTCCATTATATACTGAACCGTAATGACTTCGCCATTACAGGGATCAGGTTCTGGGGAAAATATGAGTTGAAATAGTCAAACTTTAGGATTAGGGTATTCTGCTTAAATGCCAAATTTGACAATCAGTTATGCATCATACTTAAGACAACAGATGGATGTGAATAACCTTCAAATGGTTCAAATGATGTCCCAAACTATGGGCAACAATTTTCATCCTCTTATTCAGAATACTTCCCAAACTAATCAACAACTAACAATGCAAATGACGCGCCTTGTAGAATTCTTTGGTGTACCAAGTCTCCCTCGACAACCACCAAGGAAATATAAGATAGAAAACCAAGGGGTAGTCTTCGACGAAGATACCACCATTAACCAAATCCAACAAAATCTAGGAAATATACCTCAGGCAAATCAAAGTAACCAGGGAATGATCGAACGACCTAGAGTCGAACCCCCTAGGAATCAACCATAAATTTTTAGAGAAGAAGA